GACACAGCCTCAGTTACCTGGGCACAGGCATGTCACAGTCATTACCATCGTGGCAATCAATAGTGCTGTCATTTGGTTGGCTTTGCCGTGGTGACAAGCCCTGCAATTGATGCTTCTCCAGCACTAAACACAGGGGACTCATGTAGGACTAGACCCTAGGGCTCCAGCGTAGCCCGCACACAGTGAAGAGGAAGTGGCAAAGTCCTCTGCATGCCCTGACTTCCTGTTTTCCTTCACTTGTGGTAGTGATTGTAGATTGTGTCTGTCTCAGTCCCCATCCTGAGATCTGGTCAGTGTTCCTATGTCTGTGTCCTCTGACTTCTGCTCACAGGGCATCAGGAGGCTGTGGTCCATGAAGTCAGTCCTGGTCCATCCCTCCCCTCACCATCCTCTCAGTTTTGGGCATCCTTGGCATTCTGTGTTACCAGCTGCCAGTTCTGATGGGCAGGCCTCAAGTGAGACATGACTTAGTCTTACTTAGGGTGTCTTAGTTAGGCTTACTCTTGCTGTGATCAAACACCATGACCAAAGCAACTCGGCGAGGAAAGGGCTTATTGGCTCACACTAACACATTGTCTCCTGACCTCCTTCAGTGATGGAACTCACACAGGGCAGGAACCTGGAGGCAGGAGCTGACGCAGAGGCCATGGAGGGATGCTGCTTACTGGCCTGCTCACATGGCTTGCTCAGTTTCTTATAGAACCCAAAGCCAACAGCTCAGAAGTAGCCCCACCCACAGTGGGTGAGCCCTCCTCCTACAATCACTAATTAAGACAATGCTCTACAGGCTTGTCTCTAGCCCATCTTATGGAGGCAATTTTTCAATTGAGACTCCCTCCTCTAAGATCTCCAGATTGTGTCAAGTTGGCATAAAACCAGCCAGGACATAGGCAGCTGCATCTGTGGTGGCACCTGGGGCCCTACCTAGGTCACCCCTCCCTAAAGTCATGAGTAGCTTTGTCCACCCATCAAGCTGTAGTGTCAGAGCACCTTTGGCTGAGCCCAATAGACGCTTCTAGCTCTATACCCTGGTCCTACCAATCCTCTAACCCAAAGCCTTGTGTTTGGTCACCGATAGCCTGTGGTTTACACACCAGGCAGTTTATAATCAGATCCAGAGGGAGGCAGGGGCCACTCCCAAAGGGCTCAGGGAGGAGAGGGTATCTCCTGAACATGTCTCTTTGTGTTTTTAGGGATGGGGTTGGTGTCTGTCTTCTGACAGGTTATCACCCCTCCCTCTCTCCCTACAGTTGATTTATTTAAAGGTGTGTCAGCACCAAGACCTGATGAGGGGCTGCCCCCTCCTCCCTGCTGATGGCAGCCAAGCCAATAATTCATTTTTTAGCTCATTAGCTAACAGAGGCTGTGAGCCATGGTCCTCTAGGGCATTGGAATGAGGTGAGATAATCTACTGCCAGCTCTGCTGCTCTTGAACTGGCCTTCCTTGGGGACAATGAAGTGCATGGCCAAGGGACCTGAGAGTAGCTATTGGAGTCCGCCATTCCCTGCCCTGGCACTATGTTTCCTAGTGTGGTGATACTAACAGAACAGAAGAGAAACTATGATCAGGGTGTCTTCTCACACTGGTGAGAGCTGAGGGGAAGGATGGCTAAGCCGCCATAGCAAAATATTGTGCAGGCTTCAGGAGCTGGAAGTGCCTGGTGCAAGATTGAGGTATGTGATGGGGGGGCTGTCACCTGGAGCTGCCTCTCTTCCTGCTGTGCATAGAGGGAGAGGGGTGGCTAAGAACTATTTTTATGGACCCCAGCCATAGTGGATTAGAGATCCACCACAAGGACCCCATTTAATCTTATCTACTCCCTAAAGACCTGCCACCAAATGAAGCCACACTGGTGGCTAAAGCTTCAACATGTGAACTTGGGGTCAACCAGCTTGACCATGACAATGAAGATCCTTAGGCCTCTCAGGCTCGTGCATACACATACCCCAAACCTAACCCCAGACACACTGACAACCGTGGGATCATTTAAACTAGCCAAGACCCTTGCCCTGGATGTCCAGGGTCTCCACTCCCTCAAGAGACTCCCTACACCTGGCCAAGAGCATCCCACTTCACCATGCTCAGCATGGTGAGTTCTACTGCGTTCAGTCTCCATCAGAGCCTCATCTCTGCCTGTCCTCCTCAGACACCACACTGGTGAGTGCTGTGTGCCTGACCATGACTGACACAGGGAGGGTAGAGTCAGAGTCTCTACAGTTTGCCGCTTATAGAAGGGCCGCTGTGGCCAGTGTATAGACCACATGAGGTATCTTAGGTCTCAACAGGCCTGACTTTAATAAGCCCATTTTACAGATGGCAAAATAAGTGTCCAAGTAGGACAGGGTGAGAAGAGCGAGTGCTGAGACCCTGAGACCCTCTCTCTCTCTAAAGGAGAGAGCACAGCCTCCGAGCATCAATGGGTCCCTTTTCCTTCCTGGCAACCATTGAACAAAGCTCACCAAGCCTCATGTGGGGGTGTGCTTGTTAATGTAGGCACTGGCCACAGAAGACAGCTTCTGAACACGGGGGTGCTCTTGAGTTGATGAGAGCAAACGAACTCACACCCACAACCTCCGTCGCCCTGGGCCAGACCCTGTTTCTATCTTAAACGGGTTTCAGCTACAAAAAAAAGTAAGAGTTAGGTCTGATGCCAGCATGAAGCCTGTGGCCTCACTTAGACTTCTGGTGAGCTCAGAAGCCACGGGCTGCCCTGCAGTCGGCACTGCAGAGGGTTCCATTTCCATCTGAAACTAAAGCCACACCGCTAGCAGGTCTAAGGATTGTCCTTGGTGGAGGCAGGAGTCTGTGCTCAGTCTTTGGCTGGTTATTTGAATATTAAAATGAAATTTTAATCATCGCAGTTAAGACCCGAGTTCTGATGTTAAGTTCTCCCGTTACCCCTGGATGATCTGGCAATGGCTTTTAAAATCAACTGGAGCAGAATAAGACAGTGTGGTTTTAATGCCTACCCAAAAATGAGAGTTAGCAGATTGGAAACCAGAGGTCTGGACGTCTCCTACACCATTAGCCCTTCTCATTTAACTCACGGCTTGCTCTTTCTCCTTCCTGATTTATGAACTACCTCAACAAACGCTTAAAGTGTTATAAACAAGCTTTTAAAACAGAGTGCGTGCGAACCACTGCGGTTTGGGTCTTGCATCCCCTGGCCGTCCCCGCCTTTCTGCCTAAGTAAGGATGGATGTGAGGGGCTCCTCTGCAGAGGATCTAGGACCAGTTCATCTCAGCTGCGGCCAAGTGTTTGTCCTGGAAGTCTCTGAATGAAGAGTCAGGGGTCACTTGGGGGTCACTCACATGTACCAGGAAGTGAAGCAAAACTAATCCAGATTTACTCCTGGAAGAATCTGTTTGCCTAAGTATTTAAAAACAGATTAGGGCTAACCTGACACTAGGTCACCAGGCGCAATGTAAACACTGTGCAGAGGTGTAAACGAGGCCTTTCTTCTGGGCCTTGGAAGCAGAAATGTAATGAGTTTTCTTTCTGGAGGGTTGGGGAAGGCCCCTGATTCCTCCCTGCAGCCGGTAGCTGTGCGCTCTGATTATTGCTTCGAGAGGCTCTGGGTTTCAGAAGTCACTGTGAGTCAGGTTCTTACTGAAGTCTGAGATAATTACAGTCTGTCCATATGTGTGGGGCTTGCTTGCTTTCTCCATCACACTCATGAGAAAGCAACACTCTCTTTGGAAAACAGGCTGCTGGGAAGACTCTAAGGATTGCTCATGAAATTGCAGATCCTCTTCTAACACACACACACACACACACACATAACCTCATCCCTCTTCCTGATGAAGAGTAGAATCAGGAGGACCATGGAGTTCATTGTCTCATCCTTCCTCATTTTGGTTTATTTTTTTGTGTGAGGTTGGCTTTTGAGAAACCTGCACCCACATCCCAGAGCCTAAAGGTAGTTCACGGGACCCTCTCACTACATACCTGTGGCTGGCTTGGATCTTGCCATGTTGACCAGGCTGGCCTTGAACTCACAGTGATCCACCTGCCTCTGCCTCCCAAGTGCTCAGATTAAAGGTCTGCTTCACTGTACCCAACAAGCCTACCTTCTATAGTGTGTTTTCCTTCTCTCATCTGCAATACTTCCCAAGTGATAGGTAGACCCTGGGGGAGGGGCCAGGTCCCTGATGCTCCTAGTCTCCAGGTCGTGCTAGGAGCTGGAGGCAAGACACTGTGCCCATCACATCATCAGGGCGTGGCACATGGCAGAGCCCACAGCCTTCCAGCTTCACCCTCCCCTCTTGTCCCTAGCTTTGCTCCGGCCTCAGAGGCTGCCCAATTTTTCCCCCTTGAGGCTGGTTCCTGGAACACCTTTCCTCAGAGATCAGCATTCTGCACCCTTCCCTTAAGCCTTTCACAAGTCTCCAAAGAGATGACAGATTGCTGTGTGAATCTTCAGTGTTCCTTCATCTGAAGTGATGGGAGACCCTCATCCAGTCCTCCATCCCAGAATGCTGGTAAATCAAGAGCTAAAGGGACACCGTATCTCAAATGAAGCCTCTGTTGTCCTCTCCTAGTCCTGGTCACTTGCCAGCCCTAGAGCATAGGATAGGGGCGGCTCACCTGGGACCTTTCTTTTTGGTCAATATAAGCACTTCTTGCTGGGAGGATCCCTTCCTTCCTTGCTCTCAAAAATCCCAAGCCTTTGAGCTTTGGAGCGCAGGTTTGTATTGCACTGATGCAGGCCCCCTGGCCGCATGGTGGATAGGGCTGTGCTCACATGTCAGAGGTTACAGGAGCCTTGGCAGTAGCTTACAACCACACCCAGAGGTTTTGGCTCTGGAACTGGGAGTAGATGCTGGAGGCAGAAGGATACCAATTCTGGAACCACTAATCAAGCACCCCTCAAGGGGGCCATATTCTAAGAGGAGACTGACTCCGCCCCCTCCCTGTGCCTCCTAACCTTGGTGACTGCCAGAGCAGAGGTCCCAGCCTCAATTCTACTCTGTGTCCCCGTGTGGTGACTTTCTGCAGGGAAGAAAAGGAACGGTGGATCCGGGCCAAGTATGAGCAGAAACTCTTCCTGGCCCCACTGCCATGCACGGAGTTCTCCCTGGGCCAGCAACTGCTACGTGCCACTGCGGAGGAAGATCTGCGGACTGTCATCCTACTTCTGGCACATGGGTCCCGGGATGAGGTAAACGAGACCTGTGGGGAAGGAGACGGTCGCACGGCACTGCACCTGGCCTGCCGCAAGGGCAACGTGGTCCTGGCTCAGCTGCTGATCTGGGTAAGTGGCTGTGGTGCCTACCACATGCCCAGCAGAGGGTGGCGCCTCTGTGGGGTCAGAATGCATTATTCTCCTGACCTCTGTCCCCTCTCTGCCATGCATGGAGTTCTCCCTGGGTCAGCAACTAGTAGAAAGCTGTGCCTGAGAGCTGACCCTGGCGGGATTTGAACTTTCCATTTGGACTTACCTGCCTGAGGGTATAGAACAGGGGTTGGGGAGAGGCTGGGTACAGAGCAGAAATGAAACAGAGGTTCTCACATTTCTTTCTAACAGCCTCTCAGGTCAAGCATTTTGGGGGAATGGGACCTGTTTCTCATAAATAATGTGAATGGCTTCTAGGGATCCCTTGCCAAACCTTTGGATTTTTATTTTCACAACCGGAAATGTGACGTTCGCAGGCAGCTCCCTAAAAATACCTTGGGATATCAGCCCCTTGTAAGTACCCTGTCTCCGCTCTGGTGACAGGGAGCCAAAGCAGCTGAAAACCAATGCACATGAGTGCATACACGCGTACATGCTTGCATGTATGCGCGCGCATGTGGCACAGCAGTCCTGTGGCCGTCAGAGTGCAGCTTGCAGAAACTCATTTTGTCTTTCAACAATGTAGGTTCTGTGGATCAAACCCAGATTTCGGTCTTGACAAGAACCTTTACCCTCCGAGCCATCTTGCTGCCCTTCTCCATGTATATATGATTAGAAAGCCAAATTGAAGTCCTCTTTGACCTGTTTGTGTGATGCAGAGAGGGGTGGGTTTTTTCCTAACAACAGGTACAGAGCCTGTGCTAAACAACACGTGAACATCGGCTTTCTGCTCCTTGGTAGCCTAGTGTCTATCCCAGCTCAGTCCGTATGTAGATTTGAGGTTATCCGCTATCCTTGCCTGCCCTTAAATTCCGGGGACACTAACTAGCGCTCTGTTGCCTCTACAGTACGGGGTGGACGTCATGGCCCGAGACGCCCACGGGAACACAGCACTGGCCTATGCCCGGCAGGCCTCCAGCCAGGAGTGTATCGACGTGCTTCTACAATATGGCTGCCCCGATGAGCGCTTTGTGCTCATGGCCACCCCCAACCTGTCCAGGAAGAATAACAGCAGGAATAACAGTAGCGGGAGGGCTCCCAGTGTCATCTGAGCTCAGCCAACACGGCACCCGGGATCCCACTCCCGTCTGCTCCGGAAGTTGCAACACCACGTGAGTCCCTCAGTTCCCTCCCTCTTCCTGGTGGACGCCTTCCCACCCACCTGCCACTCACTCACCCCACACGAAATCTCCAAACCTGGACATCCTCAAGGGGAGAAGAGGAGGCTGCAGGCCACAGAACAGAACTCTTTTCTCATCCTCCGGAAGCAACGTAGGAGGGACTGACCTCCTCCCGGCTTTGAGGATAGCACACGACAACGGGGACCCCTGTTCCAGTGGCCTAGAGACGGTGCAGGGGGAGGGGTTGCAAGGAAAAAGGCCAGTGTCCCCTAACTGGCAGTTAAGCACATCAGTACATTTCACCTCCACCAAAAGGAGGCTTGGATTTCACGTCTTCTCGGGGGAGCTTGACGGCATAAATCAGAAGCAAGCACAGTTTGTCAGGTCTGAAGCCCCTATGATGGTAGGTGTCAAATCAGTTGTAGCTAATCTGTCCAGGGAGAATACTGGCTTCATTACACTTGTATAGTCGAGTTCCTCCGGCATTACCGCTGTTTAATAGAACGTGATTAGTCATCACCAGGAAGAAGGCATATTAGCCGAGGAGGTAGTTACCCGGCACGCTCCGGTGATTGCCACGGTATGATTGCAGTGCGTCTAGCAGCATCATATTATCCTAGCCATGTCTCTCCAGCCCTTGGAGCCCTCCTTTCTAAATTCACTGTCATAATTTAGTATCTGTTTAATTTTTCAGTCCAAAGAGAGGAAATCAGTTGCCGGGTATTATTTGACTTCAGTCCCCTATCTTGGTGCAAAAACAAAATGGAAAAAATAAATAAATAAGTAAATAAAGAGTAACTTGGAAATCCTAAAAGAAATCATGGATTCAGCTGAAAACAGCTTTCAAATATGTTCCAAAACTAAGTAAATACATAAGAAGCTATTTTTTTTTTCCTAAGAGATTTTTCTGTACTTTGGCCACAACAGATGTGTCAGGCCTCAGCCACTCCTGGTCCACAGAGTCTGAATCACCCAGGTTTCTGTCGTAGATAAGATGTGTGAAAATCTATTTGAATAAAAGAAGTTCATAAATATGCATTGATTTTTGCACAGACAAATGGTACCCATGTTAATTTATAAACTGAGCTGGATGGGAACTAATAACGTGCAACTGGTTGAGATCAGAGGGTTACAGATCATTGTCCATGGGAAGCACTCCCAGCAGCGAGCACTTCCATTTATGTGATAAACAGCTTTTTAAAAGGTGCGTGTCAGAATAAGATGGTGGCACGATTTGCTTATTAAAGTCAGGAAAGAACAGGGGAGGGAAGAAGGGAATGAACCCTCATCCTAGAGGCAGGTTTTAGAGCCAAGACCATCCTTCCCAACCAAACCAAGGGGCTGTGGCAAGAAGGGGTGATTTCTGGAAACGCCAGACCCACAAAGGCACCCTGTGAGCAGCTGCTAGCCACTCCAGCACAGCCGGCTCCAGAGAGTCTGTAAAGTCCAGACGGCCCAGCTCGGCTGGCTCTAACATCTGATTTGCCATCCTGGGGCACAGGGTGCATCAGATGCCAGACACCTTCAGCACGGTGGTCAGACAGGAACACCAAGCCGTGACACTGTTTAGGTTTTAAAAAATAAATTGGGGCAGCCTTGCCAGAGAGCCCCCCCCACCCCGCCCCCGTGACAGTGTGCCAGGGAGAAGGCCATCACACTGGAAGACAGGACGCTGGGTACAGCCACCACCGGTGTCCTGTGGAGAAGCTCCTTACGCTTATATATTTGAACTTTATATTTTGTAAGAGTTTTTCCTCCTCTTTAACTTTTTAAAAAAAAATTTAAAGTAGATAGGAACAAAAGTAAAGCTTTACACGGCATTTTATGTGGGTGAGTGTCTTGTGGAGATCTCCAGTCTCAACATAGCCGGAACTGACCAGTATCCAGAAATGTCACAGATACACAAGCCACAGGTCTGAGACGCCTGAGCTCAGTTCCATACGCCCTGCCCTGCGTTTGGTTTTTCTTCCTGCTCTCCATCACTGTGTCATTACTTTAAATGTGAATAGAGAAAACAAGCTGTCATTGCCTATTTTTGAAGAATGCATTAGCATCCCACCCTGCGATCCGCATACGCCTCCACGTAGCCTTTACCATAGACTTCTATAGAGAACACAGATACACAGATAGAGTATAAATGAGATTCTTAAATTATTTCAGTGTAGTTAATTCCCACTAGGAGTGCTTCTATCATAGGGAAGCCTACTTCAGAAAGGAAACGGAATCCTTTGTGAGGCCTCTCTTCGGGGTGTATATGAGTGTGTACATATTATTGTGTGTTTATAATATGATATTTTCCCGAATGATTCCTTGTTTCATATCATCCTCCACTGCCTGAATGCGCAGTTGCTCGATTTGGTTCCCTCCCTCCTCCCCTCCCTAGGTCACTCTGACATCATCAGTTCTTCCTCAGAACACATGGCCCCTCCCCTGCCAGTTTTTGCCATGCTGAACTGTCCAAGGATAGCCCACTTTTCAAAAGCCTGAGTTTTGGCAATGGATGCAAAGGTGGTAGCGGACCCTCCAGGGTTTTCTGTGCAGATAAAGGAGAGATTTGACTTAACTTGTATTTCACACCAGGACCTTCCCTTAACAGCGACCTACCTGTTCCCATTTTCACACCAAGGCTGGGAGAAACAGGGACAGGGTTATGGATGGCAGTCCCAGTACCAAACACTTCCCCTAATCCAGTGAGCTTTCTAAAAAGCACATCAGAATAGGATAGTCGCACGGTGGACTTAATAAAATCAAGAAAGGAAGTGGGAAAGTCAAAGAAGTAGAATGGGTGAGTTCTCATTCCAGACACACTGTTAGAACTGAGACCACTCTCCTGCCAGGCGCCAGGGACTCCGTGCAGCAAAGCTCCCTGTTCAGGGTGAGTTTCGTCTCTTGATGAGAAGTTCCCAGCTCAGGCCAGCAACAAACAGGCCTGTGGCTTGTCTGTCACTTGTCCTGGGAGGCCGTGATAGAACCAGGCACATGCCAGGCTCACCTGGGGCTACCTCAGCTGAGCTCCTCCCCTAGGCCATGAACAGTGAGTGTCAGGGGAGAGAGGGAAGCCTCTTTATTCTGAGAAAGCCCCTCTAATGTTTTGTCTGGTTTTACAAAGAACTAAGTGCTGTTCTCTTACTGTCCCCAAGTGTCACTCAAGCCTGAGATGAGCCTCCTCTCCTGCAACCTCATACCTCTGCTTTTGGCTCAGCAAGCCTCCTTCTCCCTCGAGTTCCTACCATGAGGCCACTGGGGTGCACGCGCATGCGCGCGCGCACACACACACACACACACACACACACATTCGTGCGCACACACACACACGCCTTCTAGGAGCATACATACACGTCAGTGCCCTGTCCCCATTAACTTTGAGCATCATAGCACCTCAGGCCTCGGGCTTCACTGCCTCTGTCCTCTGAGAAGCTTAGCCAGCGGGTGAACCCCAGGTCACTCTGTAACACCCTCCTTCTCTGTCAAGACCCACAGTGGTTATGTGTCTAAACTTGGTGAGCCAGAGACCTGCTGGCCCTGAGCCTGATTTGTGCTCTTGAGTGCCAAGACTTCTGCCCTTCCTTCCTTCCTTCATTTGAGCTCTTTTATGCCTAAGATGGTGGATCTCTACCCCTCCTGGAGACGCCCCACAACAGCACAGCTGGGAGGTGTGTCATCAGGGCCTGCACACTCCTGAGAGGCTGACCTCTGAGACGCAAGCCCTTGCTTTGTGGTGGGCTCTCTTTAGCTCCTCTGTCTTCATTCTTCACACCCTTCAAGGTCCCCGAGGCTTTGCTAGAAATCCCCCCAGGATCATAGTTATGACTTTGAAGCAAACAAATTAAAAAGCAGGAAGGAATTTGAAGAAATGTGACAGGGACAAATGTCTCTCCTTAAAAAAAAAAAAAAAAAACAATAAATAAATAACAGAATTTATCCCCTACTGCTTCTGTTGTGAAGGGCACAGCTGGAGGCAACTTCTCCCTTGTCACTCACCAGAAAGTTGCCAGGGCCATTGGTGCCCAATGTGCCACTTTCTCTTCCACTGTCTCTTGGATTCTAAATGGCCCTACTCCTGCCAGGCCCTGGCTAGCAGCACACCAAGATGAGTGCCTGGTACATAGGAGGACCAAGGCATATTGGGTCTAAGAGAACCACATGACCCTGCTAGTTGTGTCTGGCCTGTTTTGGGCACTTCTCTTTAAAGCAGCTGAGGCAGATGGGTTTTTAGCCAAAATGTCACATTCCTTCTTGAGAGGTGAGAAAGGGAAGGGGAGGGGCCCGGTTACTCTGCTGGTGCCACTCAGTAATAGACCTTAGACCTCTGGCTTTTAGACCCACCTCTGGAAGCAAGAAGCAGTGAGAGCTGATTAGAGATTCCAGTTTCTGGAGTCGGGGCTCATCTCTCACTTCACGGGGAAAGACACCATCTGGGACCTCAGTGTTTCAAGACACACAGTGTCCTCCCACTCAGAAGTCTTGGCCTGAGAGGGCTCTTTCAGATGCTGAGACCCCATTTAGTTTCTGTGCCTGCTGCTCTTTGGACCCTGGGTCAGAGTTGAAGAGAGAACGTTTCATCATGGATAATTCTAGACACCCAACAAGGCTGTGTGCCCTTGTGTTGTAGCAGATCCAGGTCAGGCGTGCTTCAGGGTGATAATCCTAGTGGCTCCCTGCCCAAGACGGTACACAGTGAGGGTCCAAGGAGAAGCTGGCCTCCTGTCCCTCATCTCAAGAGGCCAAGTTTCCTATACAAGAACAGTAGTTTGGGTTTGTTCCCATCTGGTCAGAGCATTCTTAACTGAGGCCTTCCTCTTCCGTAGTGAGTCTCAGGTGGGTATGGACACCCAGCAGGGCAGCCACTCTAGGATCCAAGCAGATGGCCTCAGGGAGTGAGAAAGAGGTCAGCTCAGGGCTTGTCTTTATTTTGCTGGGCATGTGGCATCTGCTGGGGACCCCAGGGGTCGTGAACCAAGCCATAAGATGGACTCTCCTGCCAAAGGCAGGACTGAGCTGAAATTCTGTGTGCAGGGAATGACATGGTTTTTGTCTTGTTGCGGGTGAAATGAAGGAACCAAGAAGTGTGAGTGGGTTGGGGGATGGGATTAGGCCCTAAGAAGAGGCCACTTAACACACTGCTGGTGTTTGTATCCCAATGTCTGGGTTCAGGACTGCATCCACACGAGCTCACATGTTAATATTAGAGATAGCTCTCAGATGCTTGCAGAAGGAAAAGCTTCCTGGGTGACTCATGTGGACTCACCGAGGGCATGCACCAAAACAGAATTTTTAAACAGCCCTCTGTCCACAGCTGATATGCTCAGAAGATATCCAACCCACCAGGCTCATCGGGATGGGTAGAAAAGGGACCAAGGGTGCTGTGAGTTGGGGCCAGCCCAAATGTGGCTTCTAGTTCCTGCTCTTGCACGTGCATTGCTCACCTACCAACCAAGTCCTGCAGTTTCCTTACCAGGATGGCACTGAAGGGACCCAGGGCAGTCGAGTGGAGACCTGGCTATTGTGTGACAGACAGGCAAAAGATACCTTCAAAACATCCTTGTGATCAGAGGGGAAAGAGGCCTGCACCTTCCTGTTGAGAATAACCCTTTTCTTCTATGTAAAACCATCCCTTTCTTTCTCCGCATTGTGGGGTTTGGGGACAGGGTTAGTTTTCTTCTAAAATGATCAGCTTCTAAGATGAACCCTGAGCCCTGAGTACTGAAAGGGTGTTGAGCCCCAGGAAAGCACAGAAGGAGGCTGGACCTGCAGAAGACAGGACCTGGACATCTTTCCCCTCTTCCTTTTCTTCCCCAACTTCCACCTTGAGTCTTCTTTTTGCCACGGGAGCTTCTTTGCAAAGGGAAACCCCAGACAAGGCAGGACACCAGTGGCACGTTTCTGGGTAGGAGCAAGGAAGGTCACCCCACCTGCCTGGCCACACATAGAAGGCAGAAGTGCAGTGAGGGCTTCTCCAGAGGTGGGCAGCCGGCCGATCAGGGGCATTTTGATATTACCTCATTCCATAACTTTACGTTTCCCAATGACTGATGCTT